AGTTACAACAATTTTGATGCAAATGATAGAATTTCATTCTTTGTTATAGATGAATAATATTCCTCTGTGTGTGTGGGGGGGTGTGTGGTATGTGCAAATTTTCTTTAACTATTAATTTGACGATGGACACTTTGGTTCATTCCATATTTTGGCTATTGTGAACAATGCTGCTGTAAACATAGTGGTAAACATATCTTATTAATACAAAGTGTTCATGTCTTTTGGGTATATACCCAGTAGTGAGATTGTTGGATCATATAGCAAGTCTGTTTCTAGCTTTTAAAGAAATCATACTGGGGCTGATGCTGTGGCATAGCTGGTAAAGCCGCCACCTACAGTGCCTGCATCCCCTATGAGCACCAGTTCGAGTCCTGGCTGCTTCACTTTTGGATACCTCTCTGCTATGGCCAGAGAAAGCAGTAGAAGATGGTGCAAGTCCTTGGGCCCCTGCACCCACGTGGGAGACCCAGAAGAAGCTCCTGGTCCTGGCTTTGGATCGGCGCAGCTCTGGCCGTTGTGGCCATCTGGGGAGTGAACCAGCAGATGGAAGACCTTTTTCTCTCTCTCTCTGCCTCTCCTCTCTCTGTGTAACTTTGACTTTCAAACAAATAAATAAATATTTAAAAAAAATAAGAAATCGTACTGCTTTCCACAGTGGCTGCATTAATTCGCACTCCAACCAACTGTTTATAAATGTTCTTCCTCTACATCCCTGCCAGCATCTGTTACTCTCTTGTGGATAATAGCTATTCTGACAGGGGTGAGGTAATATCTCATTGTGATACTGATTTGTATTTCCTTGATGGCTAATAATGCTGAGCATTTTTTCAAATATTTGTTGGCCAACTGTATTTCTTATCTTGAGAACTTTCTATTGAGATCCTTTACTCATTTCTTAACTTGATTGGTTGTTTGCTGTTCAGTGTTTTGAGTTGCTGATATATTCTGGACATTAATCATTTGTCAAATAAGAAGCTTGAAAATACATCCCCCCCCAATTTGTTGGATGTCTTTTCACTCTATTGATTGTTTCTTTTGCTGCATAGAAGCTTCTAAGTTTGATAAAATCCAAATTGTCTAGATTTTCTATTGTTTCCTGTGCTTTGGGGGTTTATCCAAAAAGTCATCATCTGTACGAATGTTTTAAAGTATCTCTCTACAGTTTCTTCCAGGCAATTGGTAGTCTTGAATTTTAAATTTAGGTCTCATTGATCTTGATTTGATTTTTGCATATAGTGAGAGGTAGGAAGAAATTGAAGGTAGCAATCTAATAATCCAGTTTTTCCAACACCATTTATTGAAGAGATTATCTTTACTGCAATATATGGTATGGGCATAAGTTCTGGGCTCTCTACTGTTTTCCACTGATTCATGTGTCAGTTTTTATACCACAGTTTGAAGTATAATTTGAAGTCAGGTACTGTGATGCCTCCAGCTTGATCCCCCCACCACTTCCCTCTCATGATGGGTTTGGGTCTTTGGGTCCTTTTGTGATTCTATAGGGGCTGTAGAATTTTCTTCGAATTGAAGAATGTTCTTCATATTTTGATAAGAATAGTCTTGAATATATAGAGTGTTTTAAATAGTATATATATTTTAATGATATTAATTCATGCAATCCATGAACAAGGAATACATTTCCATTTTTTGTGTACTTGCCACTTTCTTTCATTAATATTTAATAATTGTCATTGTTGAAATCTGTCACTTCTTTGGTTAATGTTTCCTTAATGTTTGATTTTGTGTGGCTCTTGTGAATAGAGTTTCTTTCTTTTTTCTTTTCTTTTTTTTTTTTTGACAGGCAGAGTGGACAGAGAGAGAGAGACAGAGAGAAAGGTCTTCCTTTACCATTGGTTCACTCCCCAGTGGCCTCTGCGGCCAGCGAACTGTGCTGATCCGAAGCCAGGAGCCAGGTGCTTCTCCTGGTCTCCCATGCAGGTGCAGGGCCCAAGGACTTGGGCCATCCTGCACTGCATCCGGGTCACAGCAGAGATCTGGACTGGAAAAGGAGTGACCAGGACAGAATCCAGCGCCCCAACCGGGACTAGAACCCGGTGTGCCGGTGCCGCAGGCAGAGGATTAGCCTAGTGAGCCGCAGCACCTGCTAGAGTTTCTTTCTTGATTTCCCCTTCCAGAGTTCCTCATTAGTATATTAAAGAAGCTACTATTTTTTGCTTGTTTATTTTGTAATCTGCAACTTTCCTGAATTGCTTTATCAGTTCTCACAGGTTTTTGGTGGAATGTTTAGGATTTTTCAGGTACAACATCATGCCATCTGCAAACATGGATATTTTGATTTCTTCTCTTTCAATTTTGAAGTCCTTTATTTATTTTTCTTCCCTAATTGCTTTTACTAATATTTCCAATACTATATTGAAAATTAATGATTAAAATAGACATCTTTGTTTTCTTTCAGATCTGACAGAAAATGCCTTCATCTTTTCCCCATTCAGTATGATATTGGCTGTTGGTTTATCATATTTGGTTTTATAGTTTTGAGGTATGTTCCCTCTGTTCCTAAAATGTAACTTGAGTGGGTGTTGAATGTTATTAAATTCTTTCTCTACAATTATTCAGATTGATATCGGACAGCTTATTAATAATTTTCAATAATAATAACCCTGTGGGTTCTTGCCACTTCTTCAAAGAATTCTGAACACTGGCTCAAATAGACCAGATAACATGGTAAGTTGTTAAGCTTTTTATTCAGTGAGAGAAATGTACAGGAGAGTGAGGGCTTTATTTAGGGGAGAAAGAGAAATCTAGAAACTAAGTTGGGTCCATACAAACCAGAGAGCAGGCCAGGAACAAGCCATGTGGAACATAGATGCAGGCAGGAAAGCAGAGAGCAGGTGGCCTGAAAGACACAAACCGATGGGGCATCAAGGGGCAACAAGGGAAGACCCACTATGGTACAAGCCTTTTATTTAATACCAAAGGGGGAGTGGTTATGTAATCTGATTGGCAAGTGAGCATACAGGTGGCATCAGGTAGGGGCATGAAATCACATGAGGGCATGGTCTTCCAGCTCACAAACCTAATTGATTTTATCCTATCTGCCTGCCTATATAAATATGACAATATGATTTTTGTTTTTCATTTTGTTGATGTGATTTTTGACATTTATTGAGTTGCGAATGTTGAACCACCCTTGTATCTCTGAAGTAAATTCCATTTAATCATGAAGCATGGTCATTTTGTTGTAGTCTTAGATTTAGATTTGGTTTGCTAGTATTTTGTTTAGAATGTTTGCATCTATGTTTGCCAAGATTATAGGTCTGTAATTTTCTCTCTCTCTCTCTCTCTCTCTCTCTCTCTCTCTCTTTGGTTTTGGTATCACTGTGATGCTGGTCTCATAAAAAAGAATATTTTTAGATTTCCATCCTGTTCAATATTTTTGAGCAGTTTGAAATGGTTCTGCTTTAAAGGTTTTGTAGAATTCAGTAATAAGCCATTAGGTCCTGGACTTTTCTTTGATGAGATATTTTTATTTATTTTATTTTTTTTATTTGAAAGAGTTGGCAGCGAGAGAGAGAGAGACAGAGAGAAAGGTCTTTCTTCCATTGGTTCATTCCCCAAATGGCCACCACAGCTGGCACTGCACCCATCCGAAGTCAGGAGCCACGTGCTTCTTCTTGGTCTCCCATGCGGGTGCAGGGGCCCAAGCACTTGGGCCATCCTTGATGAGAGAATTTTGATTATTGCTTCAATCTCATTGCTTTTATGGATCTGTTTATATTTTCTCTATCTTCTTGCTTCACTCTTAGGAGGTTATATGTATCCAGGAATCTAATCATTTATTTAAGGTTTTTCCAATTTGTTATCATAGGGTTGTTCATAGTAATTTCTTTACATCCTTTGTATTACAGTGGTGTCAAATGTAATGTCTGCTTTTCATCTCTAATTTTATTTATTTGTTTTTTCTTTTTTCCTCTATTAAGATGGCTAAAGATGTCTACTTTGTTTATCTTCATAAAATATCAGTTTTTTGTTTTGTTGATTTTATTTCTATCATTTCTCATCTGCTCTAATTTTCAGTTTGATTTGTTCTTGTTTTTCTAAGTCCTCAAGATGCATTATTACATAATTTATTTGAGACATTTTAATGTAAACACCTAATGATACAAAATGTCCTAGTAATACTGCTTTTGTTGTATCCCTAGGTTATATTTGTGGTTTCAAAATAAATTAATAATAAAATCAAAAACCTGGCATAAATAAACATATCTCAATGCTTAATAAGACATTTGCCTATGAAAGTAAATGTATGACTGTGTGTGTACACTCATTCATTTGTCTACATCACTATCTATATACATATCTTTTTATCTTTGAATTTACAGAAAAATGTATGGAAAATGCACTCTAAATTGTTACTTACTAGAAGAGAAAGAAATATTATCATGGGTTGCACATAAAGAAAACACTCATATTTTACTACATTCAAGTGTACTGGGAGAAATTTTTGGAAAATAGAATTAAGCGATGTTTATTTCGGTATAAAAATTGAAATATATGCATATGAATAAAATTTTGTACATTTTTACCATTCCACAGTGACCCTATATTTAACATGGACATTTAAAAAGCAAACACAACAAAATAGTAGTTAGAAAAAACACAAGTATAGAGAAAGATTTCAAAAGTGGTATCTCAGGAAGCTAGTATTATAGCGTGTTTCATGGTTTTTTCATGGTGTTTCTCTGCACTTTCCATTTTTATTGTACTAAAAATGTATTATAAAAAAGATTTTTCTATTCTAAAAAATGCACCCATGAGCAACTGCCAGTACATCAAAAATACTATGAAAGCTAAGCAATGTCATTCAAGTAGTCAGAATGAACTGATTTGAAAAAGACAAACTAAACTGTAGGCTATTCAAATAAGCTTCCTGTATCTATTTTCAATGCCAGAAATTCTTTCTTTGAGATTCAAAGTGGCAGAACATCAACTTAGATTCCTACCAGGATTTAAGTTTAATAAAACACACTAACCATCAGTCAACGCTCACATTTTTTTTTAAAGATTTATTTATTTATTTGAAAGGCAGAGAAACAGAGAGGGGAGAAAAAGAAAGAGAGATCTTCTATCCACTGGTTTGTTTCCCAAATGGCCTCAACAGTTGGGGCTGGGCCATGATGAAGCCAGGAAACAGGAGCCTCATCCGGGTCTCCCACATGGATGCAGGGGCCCAAGTACTTGGGCTATCTTCCGCTGGTTTCCAAGGTCATTAGCAGGGAACTGGATTGGAAGTAGAGCAGACAGAATTCAATCAGGTGCTTGTATGGTATACCTGCATTGCAGGTGGCAGCTTAACCCTCTAAGCAACAATGCCAACCCTCAAAACTCATAAAACACTGCTTGTTTTATGAATTTTTTAGAATCATGATATCAAAAATAGCCAAACATAATTAGTATACACCAACCACATGTTTAGAGTAAGATTGCTCCATTCTACTAAATGTGCAATTTAATTCTTATGCTATACATGAAATTTATTGCTATATACTCCTCTAAAACAAGTCAGGTACAAAAGTAAAGGTTAGGCTGGCACTGCAGCTCACTAGGCTAATCCTCGCCTGTGGCGCCGGTACCCCAGGTTCTAGCCCCTGCTGGGGGGCCAGATTCTGTCCTGGTTGCTCCTCTTCCAGTCCAGCTCTCTGCTATGTCCCAGGAAGGCAGTGGAGGATGGCCCAAGTCCTTGGGCCCTGCACCCGCATGGGAGACCAGGAGGAAGCACCTGGCCATTTTGGGGGTGAACCAACGGAAGGAAGACCTTTCTCTCTCTCTTTCTCTAACTCTGCCTGTCAAAAAAAAGTAAAGGTTATACATTTCATTATAGAACATTCCTTAATTTTAATTTGTTTTAAATTCAAAGGTACATGCACACCCATTCATTAGTCTTATTAGGGTCAAACAAAAATATTCTAGGCAATAGTAATGCAGGTTGATATTATACCTCTATTTTTGAAAAATCTTTAGCCTTCTCACTCTATCAGTTCTGTATCTTCTATAATCTAGATACTTCTAGAATTACATGTATTATTAACATTGACTGTTGGTGTTGCAAATTACAAAGGACCAACACAACAAAATATTCTTGAATCATTCCATGTACTGCTCTTGCCATCCCAAACTTTTATCCCTCCTAAATCTTGTACTCTTGACATGCGTTCATGTGTATATGTTGAGCAATTTTTAAATTGGAAGTGTTAGATCTGAGGGATGGTGAGAAAGGCAAAAGTGTGAATTTCTTTCCTTTAACAACTCAATGCATCCAGATCAGAGCTGGTGTGGTAATTCTCTCAAAATCTTCAGGGATCCTGGCTCCTTCCAGCTTAACATGCACCATTCTCAGGGTTGGTTCCTGCTTTGATGGTCCAATTTCCCACCTTCCAAGGGCCAATCAGCTGAATAGAGAGAAAAATGAAGAAGAAATGAGGCTACATGATTCTAGATAGTGATAAAACATTTTCTGACCTCCCATTTGGCATAAGTCAAGTCACAGAGTTGGGCCAGCACGAAGCTGGTAGACAGGAACTCTATCTGGTTTTCCTCTTTGGTTGGCAGGGACTCGAATAATTGAGCCAAAACCTGCTGCCTCCCAGGGTGTGTGTTAGCAGAAATTGGGGTTGGGAGTAGTGCAGAGACTTGAACCTAGGCACTCTGATGTAGAAAGCAGGCATCCCAAACAAATGTGTTAGCCAGTCCCTCATGTTTAAACTCTACTCAGTATACATATTCTTCTATATCTAATTTCCTCAAATATTACCTCTAGATTTTTTCTTTTTTGGTGCCATTTCCATTCTGATTTTGAAAAGTATATTATAAAAACCAACAAAAACAGGTTTAATCATTTAACAACAGATTTAAGGTAAGGCTATAAAATTGGAAAAGTGACAAAATACATTGTGCAACATAGAAGAACTCTGGGATTCTTTGCGAAAATACGAAATCTGAGAGATGGGAAATTTTGGCAATTAAACTGGCTGTACTCTATTATTGAATATCATCAGTGTGTGCTAGCTAATGAGGAGTGGAATCATATTTTCCAGTGGTTCATAATCCAGACTTTGCTTTATTCTGGCTTGATCCATATTATAATTTCAGAAGCTAATGTTCATGTAAGCTTGGTCTTTGTCACAATCTGTCTATGATGCTTATGTCCAAAACTTACTATAATACACTAACCCAGAGTATGAACTTGATAGTATAAGCTATTAGTTGTTACATTGAAAGCATTGAGGTGTCTCATAAGTAGAAAACAACACAAAAGAAAAAAACCTTGCTTAACATAGTATATTTCCAAAACTTAAAAATACCAATGGCCTCCCTTTTTCTCACACATTATCTTAATAGCAATTGGTAAAACACACTTTAGAATATCCTAGAATAATCTAGCTTTTGGACATTTTAGAAAATCTATCAAATAAATCTATAAAGATCTATTTCGCAAAAACACAATTATATCAGTAGCTTAATTTTTAACAATTCAAAAAGATCTGTGTATCTTCCTTCTCTAAATACCATATATGGAAGTAGATTGTTGTCAAAAGAAAAGGTTCCCGTTTATATCATCTACTCTATATTTGGCATTTGAGCATCCACACTATCTAGACAGCAGCATATGCAAACTTGATTAAATCCCACAGATTTTTTTCTCTCTCCTTTTTAAATCAAATGTTGCATTTTGAATTATGAAGTTTCAATACTGTACCCTGTATTTTCTGAAATACATTTTCTTATTTAAGAAAAATATAGTCTTTAGTTAATGTAAATATATTTCCTAAAAATTAAAATTTGTAATGTCTAAAGTTTATTTCTCAGTGTTACAAAACTGATCAATGAAAACTCTTGACCATGTCAGACTTAGAGACAAAAGATAGATGAAAATACACAATATGTTCTAACAAACATATCGGGCCACCTGACTCTACTTAGCGTATCCATATAACATGTCACGTCCATAGAAGTGATGAAAGGGAAAGGAAAATACCCAGGTAAACATATTGGCTGAAATATATAGAATGATAAAATAGCACATGCAAAATTTATTCCATTAAAACATTAGAATTAATATTTTGATATACTTTCCAGCCTTCATTATGTGACTCTCTCTCTCTCTATATATATATGTATATATACAAGAGTTGAGTGAGGATTAGCTCACTAGGCTAATCATCTGCCTTGCGGAGCCGGCACACCAAGTTCTAGTCCCGGTCGGGGCGCCGGATTCTGTCCCGGTTGCGCCTCTTCCAGGCCTGCTCTCTGCTGTGGCCAGGGAGTGCAGTGGAGGATGGCCCCAGTGCTTGGTCTCTGCACCCCATGGGAGACCAGGATAAGTACCTGGCTCCTGCCATCGGATCAGTGCGGTACTCTGGCCTCAGTGCGCCGGCCGCAGCGGCCATTGGAGGGTGAACCAACGGCAAAGGAAGACCTTTCCCTCTGTCTCTCTCTCTCACTGTCCACTCTGCCTGTCAAAAAAAAAAAAATATATACATTAAAAAAAAAAAAAAGAGTTGAGTGAAATAAATGTGCCTAGACACAAAGACGTGAGTTGGAAGAATCATTAATATTTGGATACATGGGTAGTAAGTGACATTTGTTGAAGTAAGGGTAATAAAATATATAAATTGATGAGAATTTAACATAGCATACTATTTTGATAAGTGGTTAATAATAATGCTTTTTCAAATCTTTTCAAAAAGCATATATTTCTATTTGGCACTCACTGTATACATTAATTAATGAACCTACTTTGGTGTGAATGATCAATACATAAAGATAATAAACCCATCATGGGATAATGTTTTATCTAAACCACTCTTGTATCTTCTAAATTTAACAAGATGTGTTATAAAAGGCTCTTTAAAATTGATAGATTCATATAGTTTTATAACTGAATTAGGAATTTGTTTAATGATCTTATCTAATCCCTTAATACTGAGATAATTGAAGTAAGATTTAGAGTTTTATTTATTTTTGTCTTTTTCTGTTTTAAATTTTTATTTTTATTTAGATAATTCATTAATTTGAAAGGCAGAAAGAGAGAGAGAGACAGACAGAAAGAGTGTCCTTTTCCCAAACCCTTTCATTAAATACTCACAATGACCAGAGCTGGGCTGGAGCTGAAGCTAAAACTAAAAACTCAATTTATGTCCGGCATATGGAGGGCAAAAATGCAATTACTTGTACTACTGCTGCCTTCTAAGGTGTGAATTAGTAGGAAGCTAGAGTCAGAACCCAGAGCCCGGATTTAAACCCCAGTACTGCAATGCGGAATGCAGTGTCTTAACTGAAAATTTAATTGCTAGTCTAAACACTCACCCTGACTCAGAAACTGTAATGCCTTGTTTAAGGCACACAAAAATAGTTGCTCAGCTAAAATTTGATGTTATTTTTTTAATTTCCTAGTGGAATAAATTTCCATTACAGTTTGGTAGATTATTTAGTAAAAGAATAAAACAACCAACCAAGAAGTCCAAATATATTTACGCAACATTATAAACCATTTTCTAAACTCTGGATGTTTATCTAAACTACATAGTATTATAAAAAGAGTTGTAGCATTAAAATATTTTCAAATATTAAAGCTGTGGGTGATTGGGAATTCATTTATAGGTAAAAACTAAACCTATAGTTAAAAAATCTTTAAGTTGGGGAGAGTGGGCATTTAGTCTTGCAGTTAGGATGCCCTAGTCCATATCTAAGGGCCTGGGTTCAATTCCCACCTCCAGTTCCTTGTTCCAGCTTTCTGCTAATACAAACTCTGGGAGGTGGCAGGCTCAAGGAGCTCGATCCACACCACTCATGGAGAAACCCAAATTGAGTTCTTGGCACCTAGCTCTGACCCTGACCCTTTCCAAGCTTTGTAGGCATTTAGGTTGTGAACAAGCAGTTGGGAGCTCCTTTCTCTCTCGTCCTCCTCCTCCTCCTCTTTCTCTTCCACCACCTCCTCTCCTCCTCCCTCTCAAATAAATTTTTTGACAAATTTGAAGTTGGAAAAATAACAAATTTGGAAGACTTAAAGGCAGAATTGCTCAGGGAAAAATACCATTGTTGCTGCCACATTTATCTATTCAATTTTTTTCTCATAGATCATTATATGAGGACAAATATCTATCACCATACTAGGAAACTACTCAATTAACAAAAAAAGGTTTTTTTCTGAGTACTTATTGAACAAACACACATGATTTTGTAATATTGTTTTATATAGAAAGTTTTATCTCATAATTTTTCAAAATCCTTCAAACTTTGTAATGAACATTAAAAATGGGTTGGTGCTTGGTTTAATGCTTATTTTAATGCCATATTTTTTTATAATCAGGACTTAAAAGCTATAAGTGAACAAATGTATTTTTGATGTCACAGATATTACATTTCACTAATAATGAGGAGTGCTACAGAGATACAGTATCAGAAATCTAAATATTTTAGTTTTAATTTCAAGAACATCAAACAGTTTTTCTAACCTACTAAAAATGGAAATAAGTAAATTAGATTGAAATATTTTTATTATTTTTATTTATTTATTTATTTATTTTGACAGGCAGAGTTAGACAGTGTGAGAAAGAGAGACAAAGGTCTTCCTTCTGTTGGTTTACCCCCCAAATGGCCAGGTGCTTCCTCCTGGCCTCCCATGCGGGTACAGGGCCCAAGGACTTGGGCCATCATCCACTGCCTTCCTGGGCCACAGCAGAGAGCTGGACTGGAAGAGGAGCAGCCGGGACAGAATCTGGCGTCCCTACTGGGACTAGAACCCAGGGTGCCAGCGCCGCAGGCGGAGGATTAGCCAAGTGAGCTGCGGCACCGGCCAGATTAAAATCTTAATCCCAAAAAGTTCCATACAGAAATACTTGAATTGGGTTTATATGGCCTTATTAGATATACTCTTAAAGCCTATGCTTAACTGCTATGCAACTTGATAATTTATTTACTCATGAATACACTTCAATTAAATTTTGTGAAGAATATTTATTTAAATATAATTTTATTAAAGAATAATAATTGCAGCTAGATGTAGTAAAATCAATCTGCTACTCAACAGAAGTTACCAGAATGACAATTGCTAGCCGAATACTTACACTTTCCTTTTTTGTTAAAAAATTTATTATTTTCCACTTCACTCTTTCTCCTTTGAAAATTGAAGATGGAAATGAGGCAAAATCCTTGGGAATGTAAAAGCAGCAAAAAAGAAGGCACCCAGATTTCTGAATGAACAGTTAAAATATATGACTACCCATGGTGGAACCAACTACTGAGCTTTGAGGTATCATCTAGAGAAAATAATCTATCTGACTTGAGATGCTATACATCATGGTATTTTATTACAGCAGTTTGATCTCCCCAAACACAAATAGCACATAGCATTGAAAATGCCATAAAGTTTGGCAAACATAGAGTGTGT